CACAAATGCATGTACAAGTAAAGGAAAAACAATTACCGTAATACATATGTAAAAAAACAGTGAAATTGAAATTATGTGTTAAAATATATAGACTAATTTATTGAAACTAACCTGGAAAAATAAATATGAAAGCCGATTAAAATACAAAACAGGAGATAAAGTTCTCTAATTGATGCCTTTAAAGTGTATTTATTTAATTGTTCATTTATATAATTCTGCTTTAATTTCTAATTATGTCAGTTTTGGTCCTCCATACAGCAGAAGCCTGATAATCATATATTCATTCAAATCAGGTGTGTTGGAGTAGAGAAACAAGTAAAACATGCAGGGCTGCGGCCCTCCAGGACCAGGATTGCCCACCCCTGATTTAAACCATCACGAACCACACTCCATACCAGTAAGTGGCGGTAGTGCTACTAACAGTTTGTTGCAACCGCCATAAATCCGACAAGAAGAAGAAGAAGAAGAATACGGAGTAGAAGAAGAAGAAGAAGAGGAGGAGGTGGGGCTACTGCAGTTGGAAAGTGCTTTCGGAGAAAGCTGTGTGAATTTGTTTTCTCAATATTGAACCTTCAGAAATACTTTTAATTTCACGAGCGCCAATAGAAGTCGGTGAAGCTTTGACCGCCAGTAGAACCTTTTCCCTCATTTGTTATATTTTGGGAGGCCATATTTCCTGCACTATTAGCTAGAGGAGCTAACTTAACTGTCCAGCTGCCTCAGCGCGCTGTATGTGCGGCAACAACATGTCAGCTCCTTTACCTGCCATTGTGCCTGCTGCCCGGAAAGCCACCGCGGCGGTGAGTTATCATGACACACTTCAGGGCARTAATAAGTTATTATTTCAAGTTTGCTAAAATTCAATTGTTAGCACTGAAAACTGAGGCAGTGAATGCTTTAAATTTCTGACAYCTGTCAATGTTTACCTGCTCGTAACAGATGTTATGGATGTTTTTACAGGTTATATTCCTGCATGGCCTCGGTGATACTGGGTATGTAAAAGCCTGTGTTTCTTTTTGGGTTTGTAAATAATGTCTATGATAAAAAAAATTTACTTCTTTATGGTATCAAATTTGACAGGCATGGCTGGGCAGAGGCTTTTGCCGGCATCAGAATACCACATGTGAAATACATTTGTCCTCATGCGTAAGTTGACAAACGTTCAAGGCATAGTAATCAGACTTTCCACATAATTCACCCTGAATGATGTGAATGTGTCTAAACGTGTTGAAATTTATTGCAGTGTCGTTATAAACAATGTTCTACTGTTTACAGCCCCACTATGCCTGTTTCTTTAAACATGAGGATGTCCATGCCTTCTTGGTGAGTGTCACAGCTTAAATTCACATTTAACCAGACTGAGTTGTGTTTGAATGATGCACATGATCATCTAGATGCTTGTTTTCTGACTGTTAGGTTTGATGTCTATGGATTGAGTCCAGATGCGGATGAAGATGAGGCTGGCATCAAGAGAGCATCAGAGAACAGTGAGTATTTAAAAACAGAGGGGAAAACCTTTGCAATGGTGTTTTAGCGACAGTCAGGTTTGATAACACTTTAATTTTTAATTTATTTTTTTCTATTTTAAAATTCGCTCCGCAGTTAAAGCCTTGATAGATCAAGAAGTGAAAAATGGAATTCCTTCTCACAGAATTATCCTGGGTGGATTTTCACAGGTATGTGAGAAATGTTAGGTAACAGTGACTATTTTTGTTCAGAGATACAACTTACTTAGTGCATCTAAAAAAAAAACAGTCTGTGTTTAAATTAGACTAAAATATATTGTTGTTTCAGTCTTTATGAAATTGTGATTTAGAATAAGGAAAAAGAATAATTTATTATTATTTTTTAATAAGCTTTGAAGAAGGGTGGAATTAAATAAGGTTTTTACTTCTTCCAATTCCTTTTCAAATATGTTCAGAGTTGTAAAGTAACTAAATACAAATACTTTGTTCCTGTACTTAAATAGAATTTTTGTGTATCTGTACTTTACTTGAGTAATTATTTTTCAGCCTACTTTTTACTTCTACTTCTTACATTTTCACACAGTTATCTGTACTTTCTACTCCTTACATTTTTTAAAAAAGTCAAGAAGTAGAAAGTCGTTACTTTTATTCATTTTTGCTTGTTTCATTCCAGCTTGTTATTGTAAAAACTAAATACTATCCATATAAACGGTGCCTCCTACATAGAGTGAATTTAATTATGGTTGAATGAGAAGTATAAACATATAAAATTCTGATACCGTATTAGTTTGTACAAAAAACAAATCATGTCACACTGCAGCAGGACATAATCATTAAAATAGAAGTTCTGTACATAAGAAGTATTTGTATTTCATGAATTATATTATTGCATTTGGCTGCAGCTCTCAGATTTTCATTTTGGAGAAAATGTTTGTGCAGCCTTTATGTATATAAACTGTAACAGCTGCATCCTAAATTTAACATGACCCACGCGACCCTGAAAAGGAAGAAGCGAGTACAGAAAATGGATGGATGGATAATTATGTTAATGCAATATAGTCATTTCTGCATTTTTTTTGGAGGGAGGTCACCTCCTAATAAATGTCATTACAGAAAATCTAACTGCTCATTTAAATCAATATACTTTTACTTTTAGTACTTAAGTACAAAAAATATCAGATACTTTAAAACTTTTACTCAAGTAATACTGTATTCCTAAAGGAGACTTTAACTTTTACCAAAGTAATTTTTTGGAATGATACTTGTACTTTTACTCAAGTATCACTTTGTGGTACTTTATACAACACTGAATATGTTAATTTGTTATGTTTTTTTTGTTTTGTTTTCCATACATGTTTGTTACTAACTAACTAAAAACCTCTAGTCATGCACAGCATTACAGGAACAAATTAGCATCTGTTAGAGGCTTTAAAAGACTTCTTATGCAGACAGTTYGATGCTTGTTGTTTCTGTGGTAGTGAGTTGTACAACAGAAGGTCTTGTTTGTTGGTTTGTTTCTCCAGGGTGGGGCATTGTCTCTTTACACAGCTTTGACAACTCAGCAGAAGCTCGCTGGTGTGGTTGCTCTGAGCTGCTGGCTTCCCCTCCGTAAATCCTTCCCTCAGGTAGAAAAGAAAACGACACAAACTTCTGCCCCTCTGCTCTTTACATTACATTCACGTTTGAGTCGTTCATAACAATAAATCATAGTTCCAGTGTTTGCCTATCAGTTTGTTAGAAATTTAAACTGCCCTTATCAAGTTTCTTTTTTTTCAAAGCTATATCTTTATTGGGATCACACTGCTGGAATATTCAGTAGGCAGATTAAAATCTTTTATAATTGGATCATACCTAATCCTAATCTCTTCTGTTCTCAGGCGGCTGCTAACGGCGCTAACAAGGACATGCACGTCCTGCAGTGCCACGGGGACGCCGACCCCCTGGTCCCTTTCACATTCGGCACCCAGACGGCAGAGAAACTGAAAAGCCTCATCAACCCTTCAAATATCACCTTCAAGTCGTACCGGGGCCTACCTCACAGCGCCTGTCCCGAGGTCGGTGTGCAAACACACACCGTGTAGCTCTGGTTTCCTTTCTRTTGGGAGTTTAATTCTGCCTTATTTTGTTCMTTTTGTAGGAAATGATCGATATCAAGCGATTTCTAGAGAGACARCTTCCTGCAGTCAGCGACGAATGAACAAAGTGCATCCGCTCACCTGCTCAGTGTTATCAGAGTCCGCTAGCCTCAACCAAGCAAGGCCAGGTGGACTCGAGAATTACTTGACAGTGAACACACGCTGCTACTTTTCTAGATTCAGAAAGACTAGAGCCGTTAGCCTGTGAAAGGCATGACTGAGACAATGCTGCATCTGACCTGGAGTCACAAACAGCCCTCACTGTTAAAGTAGATGAACCTCAGCTGCTTGGTTATAAAGCCTGTTTCCACTGAGATGAGCCATTTTTGCAGTTGTATGTATTATAACACTTAGGGCTATAATTTGGATTTAAAACTTGCATTCTCWCAATAAATGGCTTGTTAATTGATTTTAAAAGTGTTCAAACCAGCTCATTTATTAATATAGTATAAATTTAACCAAGGGATTTAAGTTTTAGCTTATTTGCTTATTATTGAAAACATTTGCTTTAATATTTTAGATATTTAGATTTTTTTAATTTATTTTTTTTAATAAAACCTAAAAAGAATATTGATTAAAAAAATTAGGATAGTAATTAAAACATAGTCCCAGAAAAGCCAATGAAAACAAAATACTTAACAGCTCAAAATAAGTATTAAATATTCTGCTAATACTCATGAAAAATGACAGAAAAAATGTGATTGTGCTTTATTTAATTTGTGAGAATTCAAATAGCTATTTCACACTTTTTTTAAAATACATAAATATATCAGTGATCATGGTCATGTATTTCAGTGTATTTTTCCCTGTTTTGTTTAAATTTAATATAGAACTAATATCACAGTATTGAAACACAGATGAGATCGATTTCCGGGTCTCAACTCATCAAGTTGTAAAAACGTTTTTTTGATCTTTGAGAAGAGCTGAAAGCACCAACGTGTGAAGTCAGCGTCGCACCGTTTCACGTCAGACCTAAAGGTGCTTGTGTCKGTGATGTTATTCCAAGGCACTTTTCTTTCTCTCTAAGTTACATTTAAATAAAACCTACTGGTTTCTACAAGAACTGGATATGCATTAAGGCTCACAATATACCTAAATACAAATGCAGTGCTCACAGATACATGCATTCCCTCATTGGACAAGGTAGAAAAGTGCAATGTCAAGCGCCAGGGAATATATTTATATATATATATAAAAATATAGATTTTTTTTTTAATATTATTTTTTTAACAAATACAGTAACTGATGCTGAACCTAGCTTTGTTCTTGGTTGCTCTGAGGGTTTTGGTAAGCTAATCATGGGTAAATAAACAGCACTTAGCAACTGGCTAAAGACTGCCTTAAAGGAGTGTTCATTTTCCTGTCTTTTTAAATAGCAGTACTCCAACACAAAACTCCTTTTTCTTTTTTTAAAATCTGTGTGGGATGCATGCGCCAGAAAGCGAAGTGTGTGGCAGTGGAGAGTCTATGGCTCAGAAGGAGGCGGCTCCTCCAGGCTCTTCATCAGATCCGTGTACGCAGRCGAGTTGATGAAGCGAGGGTACGAGTCTCTCTGCATCAGCGTGTAGATCTGCTGCTGAGCGTCCTCGAACGTGTGCGAGGTCGGCTCCAGCATGTTGCGGTTTATCACTTCTCGAACGCGAGAATCCAAGCTCACCTAGAGGGATCGCAGAGAAAAGAGGAGTGAGCCTAATGCATCAAGCTCCCAAACGGTAGAGTTGTAACAATACTTCATTTGTGGAAAACATATAAAGCATTAGCGGAGGTCTGCCAAAATGTAAAGATCCTCGATATTTTTCTCATAATTTAAGTAAATGAACTAATTGGCTTCTTTTTTAGTTTTTGATCATATTTTCTGCTATCGGACTTATTTAGTTTTGATCAATAAGGAATTGTTGGAAAAAGTGCAACTGATAAAGAGTTAGTTGAGCTCTTTAGAAGTGGGGTATGTTAACAATTATCTTACCTGTTGTAGATAGGTCTTTGAACAAGATCATTTTGGTGAAATGGTTTAATTCTTAACTTTGAGCTAAGAGCTACTTCTAGTAGAGCCAAGACCATGATGGTTCTTAAACAAATTTAACCTCAAAAACTGAATAGTTCAAGTCTTTATATTGAAAGTTTTGTTAAACACTAGCACTAGTATCAAACCAGCTTAGATGATGCATTAAGTCAGGGGTTCTCAAGTCATTTGGGTCTGGGGACCCCTTATAAGGGCGAAAAAAATTCCAGCGACCCCCTCATAAACCCTATGCTGTTTTAAAAGATAATTTATTATCATTTCAACCCCTAAATGCCATAGGAATATATATTTTTACTAAGGTTATAATGTTTGTTTTATTAGTTTATTGTTCTCCATGCATTTTTAATAATAAAAACCAAATTAACATTTTAGTAAAAATTTGTGAGGAACCCCAAGATACATCTCGCGGACCCCTGGGGGTCCAGGGATCCCAGTTTGAGAACCTCTGCATTAAGTTATTGATGTTGCTTGAAAACATAGAGTTAAATAACTAGAGTGAGCCCAGCCTATCCCCTCTGCATCAGGGACAACACGGAGGGGCAACAATGGTGACCGAACGGGACGACAGCTCACAGCTGTCATAGCAACTATTTGATTAACAGCWAGCCCAACTGGATCTGTGTCACAATTGTTTTTTTGTAATATATTTACAGTAAATTAATGTAATTGTTAATTAGGTWAATTTCATTCAACAATCATGTCAACAAATATGCAAGTAACAATGATCGGACCTCAAGTCAGTCAAAAACGTATTTTTAAACTAGTTGAARAATTACGACTTCAACTAATTAAGTATATTTATTATTTCTCACCTGTCATAAATAATATTAATAAATATTTACCAACCGATAATTAGAAAGTGTTCTCTGCATTATAAGATGAAACGTGACTCTACTGATATTAGCTAAACATCTTCTCAACATGTCAGGTTTGTCTAACAGAAACCTATAATTTTACGTGGTGTATAWATATCATTAGCCTCATAGCATATATGCCTAAGTAATTTGCTACTGAATATGTCTTGGACAATTATGCTGAGGCTAAAGATATATTACATAAATCGAGACAAAGCCAGCTTGTAATATTTAATAATTTGTCTTCAATAGCAGCATGACTCAGTAATACTACGCTCTGTATAACAATATTTGCTACAGAAGCTAATATCTGCTAACCAGTTGAATAATTAACAGTGATTACATCGGCTTTAAAAGCTTATTTTAGTTTTAAACTGTTACATATTAGCTTCAGTTCTGCTCAGATTACATCAGCATTGAGGTACTTAAGATAAAATCTGCTAATTTGTGAAATGAAGCATTTTTATTTTTCTYTTCTGTTGGTACACCCAAACCTCACACAGCTTTCTGTCATTACATGCATTAGATAGATTATATTTTTATTAATATAATTGTGTTTGTAATTTAACACAATCAGACCTTATTGTTCCCTAAATTGCCAGTAATCTTTAGACCTCCATTCGTAAAATTCAGTGTCTTCTTGTATGGCTCTATCTTGGAACAACAACTTAGCTTTAGTGTTGTTTCCTCACAGCAATGAGGTTCTGGGTTTAATTCCGTTTTGGATCTTTCTCTGTGTGGAGTTTGCATGTTCTAGTTTTCTCCCACTGCCCAAAAACATGCATGTTAGGCTGCCTTCAGGGCTCCCTGAGTAAAGAGGTCTGTGATCTAAATGGGACTTTCCTGGTTAAATAAAGGATTGTAAAACAAGTTCCCTCAAACTTGAAAAAAGTCMCTTAAAATTAATCTAAAGTGTAAGGTTTTTCCTGACGTCTCCCTCTGCTGCTCAGTCACCTTCTTGATTATTATTCCATCATTCAGGCTCAGTTTTGTTTCCATAAAACTCATTTCTGTTTGGCACTTCCCCCTCGTGTAGTCTCGTTCATCTCTGCTAAAAGTTGTCCTCCATTATGTTTGATCTCATAATGAAATTGGTTTCCAAAACTGAATAAATCATTTCTTTGTCTTACCAAGAAGTGGCCGCTACCAAATTGCCAACCCAGTGACGAATCATAAAAGGCATTGTTCAAATATAACAACATTTAGTCTATATTATAATAAAAACAGTGACAGCTCTGTATTGTACGGTTATTGCGTGTTTCTTTTCCCGTCGGCTGACTGATCACTTTCCTGAAGAATTCGCCTCTAAATTTAGCCTCRTCTCTTGTCCTTTTCGAGTCCTCACCTCTTTAGGGGAAAGAATGGAGATGAAGTCCTCGTATATTTGCCGGACTTTCTCCTCCACCACAGTCTTGTTGGTCTCTTTTTTGAGCTCTTCGCAGGCGAGCCAGAACATCATGTTCTCCTCGCTGAACTCCGTCCTCAGGAACTGCCTGAAGCAGCTCCGGCCAGCTGCGCTTTTCATCACCCTTTCAAACGACACTGCCCAGGAGCGAGCGTCCTCCAGAGTGGGCTTCAGGCTGGGAAAATGCAAGAATGTTTAATTTTCACCAAGATTCTTTGGATTTGTTGTAGATTTGATGGGGAGTTGTACCTTTCTTCACAATTAGTGTTTCCGTCTGGCCTGGGCTCAAATGTAGATCTCTGAATGGTTTCATCTTCACTCCTAACAGTCAAACTGGGGCGAAAAATCATTTTAAAATCTTCTTATTTAACAGCTGACAGGATTTCAACAGATCACAACATATTGTTTGTTCTTCGTGTAAAAGGATAGAACACCTACGGCAGTTTTTGGGTGGACCCACTGAGARAACGCCTGCGTAAATAGTAATGTTGTGTCATCACCCTCCTCCRTCCTGGGAGTCTCACCTGTGAGTAATTAAAATGTTCCCGGTACCTGCCGGAGCGGCTGCATTAATTGGTTCAGGTGAGAGTCCACTGTGAGGCGTCCCATCTGGGAACGCGGCTGTTGTGCAAAGATTAAATGAAATTCACAATCATGAAAGGACAAAATGTAACACTCGTCCCCCTGGAGGTGAATTAAAGCGGCCGCTCCGCAAGGGTCGACGTCAACAGTGGCCGATTCCAAAACAGCTGAGACTCCTGAGGCTTCACGACCACTCAGGTTCAGTTCTAGATGAGGGTGTGTGTGGTGGTGTTGACAAAACGACGACAGTAATAGTTGTTGTCCAAGTTCACCTGCTGAACTGAGCTGATATGAATTGTTCGTTTGAACAAACGAGTGGAATATGCAGACTTTAAAGCAATTCAGATTTCTTAAAGTGGGGTTATGTGGATTGGTAATAAACAATCAGTATCTTTCCAGTACGACACAGAGTTTTGAACCATTTGTTTGTCTGCCATCTGCAGGATACCTTTTTTTTGTGATCATATTTAGGTGTCCAATTATGCGAATGCTGCCTTTTGAAATTTGGTATCCTTGTTTGGCTTTGTGTTTTTTGTGTATGTGTTGTGATGTTGGMTTTCTGAGTGGTTTATGTTCTGCAGAACAGGAACCTGCTGTAAAACAATTATGCTGAGTCAGGCTTGATTTCTTTTAATCTTTTTCTCAATCAATCAATCAATCTGGTTTGACTGAACAGTCAAGCTAATGGCTGGTCTGTGTGAAAGCAGATCAATTTTGTCTGAAAACAACTGTAATCTCAAACAAATTATAGCAATAAATGCTATTTTATAAACCTTTTCGTTGTCACTTTTCCATGACATGGTTATTTACAGATTATTTAGCCCAAAAAGTAAGTAAATTAGTGTTTGGTAGATTATTTCTTTGACGTAACAATGCTTTTTGGCAATATATCTTATACCGTTGGAAAGTCTGTGAATTTACCCTCTTAATGGCGCCACATTTGTAAGGAACAGGCATTTGTAGGATGAGCAGTAGAGCTGAGTTTGTGGGTTGCACACATAAAAATCTGTCAAATCTTCTTTGTCAAACAGCATATTTTGCTATTGATGCTTGTTTTGAGCTTCTGGTACCTTCGGGTGCTGCCAGTCACACGCCTGCTATAGGATTTATTGTCAAGAAGCATCGTTACAACAAAGAAATAATCTACCAAACACTAACATCTTTACTTTTTGAGTAAATCTTATGGAAGATGAGATTTAATGATATCTTCTGATACTGTATATCCTCTTTAAGGATAAACAAACTGACCTATTACAAGTTTGTTAGCATTTTGAAGCTACAACCTTTTTTTTCCCACTCTGGAACTTGAACAAATTAAAAGCACTCCTAAAACAATTTTTGTGTGTGGCAGAAATGGTTAAACTCTTTCTGTGTGGATGGCCCCTGAGGTTGATTTGAACTATAGCTTTAATCCTGTTTTCAGCTAAAGTTCAGCTGATATCARAATGAGCGTGAAAGCTTAAAGGAGACRTGCCATGCTTTTAAATCCTTCATTTTCACATTTAAATCGTTCAGTTGGGGTCTATAGAAGTGGAACTATGCTTTGGTCTGAATTCCTCCTTAYTGTAACTCCACAAGCCCCTCTTTCACCCKTTTTCTGAGGTGTGTCTCAGATTAACTTGTTTTGTGGCTGTGTCTTTAAATTCAAAGAAAGCACTTCACACCCAGCCCTCTTCAACTTCCAGACCAATCCRTTTCAGCTTGATAGAGGGGTTTATACAAATTAATCAAAAGAGACGACTTGTCCATCCAGCCTCRCATGTYGGAGCCAGAGGAGAGTGAAGACAACRAAATTATTRCAATCGTTCAGAAAAYGTAATAGAAAAGAAAAAGAAACACAAAAAACCCCTGAATGAGTTGAAAAAACAGAATCTAAAGATATCGATGCAGCACAGGGAGARAATTAAAGCACATTTTTGCACCCCTAGAAATTCCAAGCACACAATAAAATGCATTTAACAACTAAATGAATTTTGCATGACATGTCCYCTTTTTRAAACTTCACTGACAGTCRAATGATCAGACAGGTCCAGGGACCATCAGTTGACAATGACTGACTTATTAACTAACTAATTAATTAATTAATTATGATCATTAAGAGAGCTGGGGTGTATTAGTCCTATAGCTGAATAGCTGAGTCTTTATTATTTTTAATGCTAAAATGAATGAGCCTTTTAGAAAACCACATTTAAATTAAAGTCAKTTCAGAAAGGAAACTGACTGAACTCCTTCCCCTTTTGTTATGAGAAAGACAAGTTGTAYTGATGAGCTCTCAGCTCATCTCCTGTGCCTCAGAGCCCATCTATTAGCATCCATCCCTGCTGTGAGCGGTGTGTTATTACCAGGAGCAGCTACAGCAGCAGCACCAGCAGAAGCAGCAGGCGTTTGAGGCGTTGGTGGGGGTGTTCCCCATCTTGTGGCGCGCTTGGAGGACACTGGCAGCTGCTTCCTGATGAACCTGCATCTGTCTTTTACGCATCTCCAGCCGCTCTGAGCCCATGGACTGCAGGGAGAGGAGGGGATACAAGGACCACATGCAGGAGTGAGAGCTGCTCGGAGGGGAGGCGGGCTTTTATCGGAAGATGATAACCGCATTAGGAGAGCGCATCACTGCACAACATTCAGCATAGCATCAAAAAAGGCCCYAGAATAAAGCAATCGCAAATGGGTAAATAGTTGATCAGAGAGGGAAGGGTCCTGCGGAATGCTGCTGCACGAGCTGGATGTGAGAGGTCAACTTCAGCCCTTTAAGGGGGGGTTAAGCAGAACAACTTAACAGCAAAACTGGATCCATGCTGAATAAGACCCCCTCTAAGCGTAACAGCCCACCCCCCCTCCTGCAGCCCTGTCTTCTCTCAGTCTGAGAGCTGTAATGACAGCGATGAGGCGCACAGATCGCATCCATCAGTTGCATCCTCCGGAGGATACGCACGATGGGCTCCCACCTCCCGAAAGCAAGCGGCCATTCATCCACATATTATAAAATTATTGGATCGCAGATCGCTGATGAATTATTTTTCATTGTCTTTAAAATAAAAGCATATTCAGGGATGTTCCCATTTCGAAAGGATCCTGAATTACCCGCGTTACGTTTCCCCTCAAAAACCGACTCGAACGCATCATCGTTGGATTTATTTGAGGAGGAAATATAAAAAAAAAAAAACATGTAATGAAAGGGTTACTTACTGTGTCACCATGAATGCCAAAATACAGGTGATTTTCAGCTCGATCACATCCGTCTGCCTCGACTTGACACAAACCAGTTGGTTTCCTCTACGCGCATGCGTTCCCTGCAAGTGTGAAGAAGATTTTTCTGCACCCAGAACCAAACGCGCCCAGTCTGTGAAGTCCACAGGACCAACTGGAGCCGACTGGCTGTTGGAAGCGATCATCATTTTGTTATTGATCAGTAAACATTTAAGAGACAAAGAGCAGGTGCTCGAATGATGATTAAACCTTCAATTAATCCGAGCTTTTTCTAAAACATGAAGAATTGCGCCAAATGAGCTCCATCTGTTTTTACGCAACTTCATCCACAGACAGTATGATTTTAATTAGGCYTACTTATTTTTATTTTTTTAAAATCTGCATTAGTATCAAAGCTTCAATAGTTTTGCAAACCTAGCCTCTGAATAATTGAATCAAACACCTGGGAAATCCAATTTGCAGCATCCTCCCTTCCTCCCGACGAGGCGCAGTACTGCAGGAGTCCACTAGAGGGCAGAAGAGGTCCTCCCGAACAGACGAGCTCAGAGAAAACTGAAGGGTSTGAACTGATGGAGAGCAGTCCAGGACCATAAAAAAGGTGTTTTACATGATCATATAAAACAAATAAAATATTTAAATAAATTAAAAACCTAAAGGTTCTAATAATAAATCTTTACATAAAGTTTTTACCCATTTTTTTTCAAAAATTAAGAGCAAACGTTTAAATAAAAAAAATGTATGCATCAAAACTTTTTCCTCAACAGTTTTTCAGCACCATAACCATAACCAGGAGATGCACATTTTCATTTAAAAATGATCTCCAAATGATCATATTGTTCCAATTATGCATGTAACAATTTCCTTTTGCACATACATTGATTCGTCAGAGCTTTCGAGTTGGAATATTTCAATCTGCTGTGTAATTTGATTTATGTTTCATCTGCAAAAACTTCAAATAGGACTCTCAAKTCAGAAAGTCCAGGTTTGAAGAGTAGCTCCAGACCTCATTGCCTTTCTCTCTCTGCAGACACAGTTTTAAAAAAAAAAGGGTCAAACTTGCTCCGAGGGCCGTTTTCCTTTCTGTGTTCTGCAGCAGCTGCCTCTCACCGCCCTGCCTCTTCAATATCATAGCTTATCTTAATCTGACCAGAATGCACAGCACCATCATTCTGCAGGAGAAAACTATTCGAATACATGTCTGATCTGTGCGCTGCAGTTTGACTGGGGTTTTGCACAAAATGTGATTATTCACTTCGGCTGGAAGTTTCAACTGCAGCAGTGGGAGTATGCAAAGTGGTGATTGCAGACAAGGAGGTGCAGGTCCATCCTTTTCCACTTTGCATGTGTGTTACAGCTGTAAAACAAATTCAGTATGAAGAAGTCTCTSCCTCTGAAGCTCTGAATAAATCATGCGTCTTGTAGCTGCGGTAATCTTTGGGAGAAATTGCTTCTTTAATGGAGCCTGCTCTCTGGTGAGATAACTATTACTGTGATCTACAGCCGCAGCGCATCAGCACATATTTGAATCTTTTAATATTTTCACATGGATCTGAGTGTCCATAAACTGCAAACAAATCGAGCTTCACAGATTGAAAAAAAAAACAGCTTTAAAATTCAATATGGTGTCAGTTTTAGAGGCTGCAGCTTTCTAAAATCACACGGAGTAAATCATGCAGCCAGCTGTCGGCTCAAGCATTTTCTCTCACACATGAAACATTCACACTGAAGGTTTTCATAATTATTTATTTACTTTTTACTTCTGATGCTCAATTCATTAAAAGTTATTACACCCACTTTGGCAGTGAGGTGCAAAATTTGAAATAAGTTAAGGCTCAAAAGTAATTTTCCACACATCTTTTCCTTCTGTGAACTCCCTAACAGAGTTTATCTCAGAGCCACAGAAGTTTCCTTTGTAATAAATCCACTTTTCTTTCTTTTTTTATCTTTCTGGATGTAGGAGTTACAACGCTGGTGTAAAGGAGGCAGAAATGGGCTGCAGAGCTCAGTGCAGCATTTGAAGGAGGAGGGCAGCTGAATATGTCCTGTGGTTACATCCAAACAAGTAAAAATATGACAAGTTGAAGTAAACAGTAAAAGTATTGATCACAACTAAGTTTTTTTTTTATAAAATGTCTCACAATATACATGAAATGCTGTAAAATGTGTTTTACCCCTGCGCTGTAACTCAAGATTTAAGGCCTAGCATTCCTTGAAGAAATGCATTTTGCCCGCCTCCTTTCATGCAGAGTTTTAGACAAAAGTAATTTTGTGGTCAGAAATTAAAGAGTTGTAGCTGTTTTGGACAAACCTTTAAAATATAGGCAGAACATCACATATATATGAATGCGTGTATGTGTTGTTATGACTCTCAGTTGCTATCACATCAAGTTTTAGCTCAATATCTGTKAAAAAATGATTGAGTTACATTTTTACTTTGATCTTTGTTGATTGCCYGTGGCGGCCATCTTGAATTGGTCTGATTTGGGAAGTTAATCAGTTAAAACAACTTCTCTTCATTGTTTGAACAATGGTTGCTTTTGTGGCCAGAGTTGAAAAATTCTCAAACCATAAAACTTTACATTTCCAAAAAAAAAAAAAAAAAGTTGTTATAAATTCACAAATCCAAGTGTAAAAAGWACAAAAATCTTCTGAAAAATGAGGCACATTTCAGATTTGAAGCTGTTGCTTGGTAACCAATGGAAACTGAAGGAAGTTATTGCAGCTCTGTACGTTTGAAACAGAAAAATCTGTTGACATCAGTGTGTTTTCAGTGACTTTTTATAGAAAAAACCAACAAAATGTGTTTTAAGGCAGCATTTCTTTATGTCTTCAAATGGTGAAMATTTTTGTCTTGCTGTCATTTTTTTTAAACTGGGCATTTGAACAGGTGTGTGTAGACTTTTTATGTCCATAGATATGCATGAATTTTATTTTTATTTGAAATTTACCACAAATAAAGTGATTTAAGCCCCTTTATTTTATGCCACCTAATTAAAATTTTAACAATTTGTCACAAATGTTTTAACATAATCTGACCCAAAGTCATATTTTCTAACCCAGTTTGTTTTAATGACCATTTATTAGTTGCATAAGCTGGATTAAATAGGGAACCAAATACAAATTAATGATTAGTGATGAGTTACATAAGAACATTTACGGATTAATAATGAAGTTTAACTCTTTCCTTTCCCACTCTGCAGCTTTCAGACTGTTTTTTTTTCTTCTAAAAACTAAATAAAAACTGGCAAACTGCACTCTTGAAAGTAATTGTTGTTTTCCGGCGTAAACAAAGAAAAAAGAGAGACAAATCATAATTAAATCCAAGAGCACCGAATTTGCTATTTGGTTGGTTTTAGAGCCTGATGTCAAACTGAGTTTTATATGAAAAAATGACTAAATGAAAGTGGACACGGAAAAAAAAATCACAGTCAATCTTTCCTCAAAATGATTTCAAAACCTGAACAAAATGTTCATCCTCCAGCAAATTGATTTTTATTTTTTATTTTTATTTTATTTCATTGTATTTGAAACTACTCCATGGATGTGACCTGAAATCAGAAGATTAAAAGAAAGCCCTGATGGCGTGCAACTTTTCAGCAGATGCTTTGATACTGATGAGCACTTCAGAACTACTTCCATTTATTAGCTGTCCACACTTTGAGCAGCATCTGTTGTTCCGTTTTGCTGTGGAAACAGTTTCTCCATGGCAGACGCTGAAAATGAACATCATTCATGTTTCTCTGCAGCGTAGAGCAAGATGATAAATTCCACCTTGTGCAATAAAGTATCACGTTTTTCTTTTTTGTTCAGGATTTAAATTAAAAATGTATGCTGCCTGTCTTCAATGTGCCGAAATACTGAATAACTCCTCTTTGACCTGTCAGACCCATCTGCATGAGAAAGGAGGAGAAAGTCATGTTTGTTGGTGTTACAGACAAGAACTTTTGAAACTGTATTATCTTAAACGCTGCATATTGAATTTCTTATTACTTCTCCCTGCTTTGTTTACAGCTTTTCCTTTTCAAATGACAATAAAGCTGTCAATAATAAATCATGAAGCCCAGTAAAAAAGCAACACAATTAAATAAAAACACAGAAGCAGTTTTTATGTTTAATATACCAAAACATAGAGTTGAAGGCATTTAATTGAAACCAGTTTTCTCTTGTCATAAATAAATAATGTTTCATTTTAAATAAGTTTAAATTCCTCTATGTATGCTTTTTTTTATTTTGCACATTAAATCAAATGATTCATGTTTTCACCTCCTGACACACAAACAGCAGGACATGTCCAGCCTTTTAGCCCAATCAGTAGTCAGAGTCCAGAGGGAGATGATGAGAGGAGGGAGGATGAGGATGTTCATTCATATCAACTGAACAACAATATCTGCAGAAATCTGGAAGCAAAAACACAGAAARAAAACAGATAAACAGAAGATTTGGCTTTTAAAAAATGCAGTTTGAACGCTGAACGACTGCCTACATTTGCTATAAAAGCTGATAGTGAGTCATCAAAGCTAAAATAAGAAGATTAGGAGCTTAAAACTAAAAGTAAAAAATAAAATAAATAAAACAAAAAACAGCTCAAGGCTAACCTGGCAAAAGGCCAGCTAAAAGCTAAAAGAAGAAAAGATCTAGCAAAATGTTGCTTTAAAAATCTAATTCAATTAAAAAATTAGAAAAAATACTATCTAGAACATAAAAAAGTCAAGACATATGCATAAAAAAACAGAAAAAAGCTGAAATCAGAAAAAGGCTACATAAAAACCAAAGTAGTAATAGATTAGCAAGAAGCTGAGAGGCTGGGTACATTATGCATTAGCTAAAAAGCAAAATGTTGCTTTAAAAATCTAATTCAATTAAAAAATTAGAAAAAATACTATCTAGAACATAAAAAAGTCAAGACACATGCATAAAAAAAACAGAAAAAAGCTGAAATCAGAAAAAGGCTACATAAAAACCAAAGTAGTAATAGATTAGCAAGAAGCTGAGAGGCTGGGTACATTATGCATTAGCTAAAAAGTAGCAAAGGATTTTAAAGTATTTGAAGGGATCTCAATG